ACCTGTTTGGGTCAAATCTCGGGAGCTCAATCCTCACCCTAGCTGTCCCCAACTATGCCTGAAATATGTCCCACAGGTTTTAAGATGAATATATGTCTTCATGAGCAATTTTTTTGGGAGGAGAGGGGAAGTCACACCTGGCAATGCACAGAGGTTACTCCTGGCTCTGCACTCAGGAATTACTCCTGGTGGTGCTCAGGGGACCATATGGGTTGCTGGAAATCGAACTTGGGTTGGCCGCGTGCAAGGCAAATGCCCTACCCACTGTGCTATCTCTCCAGTCCCTGATCAATTTCTTCTTATATTTAACAAGTTAAAGGATGTTGCTTTCTTGGGTCAGAGAGATAGATAGTACTGCAAGTTTTGGCACTTGCCTTACATGCAGCCAACAAGGTTCAATCACTGGCATCACATATGGTCCCACCCCCACCCCCCAGTTGGCCAGGAGTGAACCCTGAGCAGAACCTGGTGTGGCAAAGAAACAAACAAACAGAGGAGGCTTTCCAACAAGTTCCACCTGGACAGAATAGCACCGCCATGAACCACGCATCTTCCCAACAAGACCTGGACCTCAGGATCGGGCCCCTTGTCCTGGGGAGCTTTCTTGGACAGAGGCTGCTCCTTACGGCTTTAGTTGATGCATTCTTAAAGGTTCCTGCTCTTTCACTTACTAGCCAATCTTTCATGACTCCAATCTCCTATATATTTAAGTATTCTTTTTTTTTCATGATAATTACATGCCTCGTTTACTTAGAAAATTAGAGTCTAACCCAACCACCATCACTTATAAATACGAGCTTCTATCTGTAAGAAAAAGAAACCCAACACCAGTGACATATGGTGGTGGGGTGACGTGAGGTGACCAAGCAAGACCTCGCGGCAGCTGGGCGCTGCCTCTCTCTGGCCTTCTGCTCCCCGAGCACCAAAGGAGGGGGCAGGGCAGATGATCTTCCAGTCTGTGTGCTACGGTTCTTGTATTTGGATGACAGACTGCATTGTAACAGCATCATTTTACTCAGATTGTAAACATACACAGACAGGAACTTCACAGGCTTAGCACGAGAGAATGGGTGCTTCCCGTCTCCGATCCTCTTTGGGACATCTGAACTTTCTGATTTGGCTGTTGGAGGAGTCCTGCCTGGAGACACCCACCTCGTACCAGTCCAGATGCAGAAATGTGCGAGCAGATGGTGGTCCCATTCAAGGACTGTGCAGTGCTGGTTCTCTCACCCTTCCCTCTGTATTACCTGAGTTGTACTTTAATTCCTTCCGTAGAAAGTCTCCAGTTCATGTTGATATTGGCTCAAATAATAGTGGAGGGGTTGAGGTCCTGACCTAACAGTTCTCTAGATATTGTGCTGGTGCATAACTCATATATTGGCTCAGGGGCAAGAGAGGCTCCGTATGCTGGTGGACTGGCTGCATGTTTCAGCACCTTATTGGGGCCACTCTGTCCCTCTCTGTTGAACTTAGGAACCTCAGAAGATCAACTCAGTTTGCCCACACCGTATCAAGTAAACCAATTGAGTTTCTTTTTCAATACGAAACATGATTTTTCACAACAGAGACATGCTCAAGACACATACCATGAAGTCATGGGCTCAGGTAAATGATCTAAACACATAATTAACATTTCCAAATTCCAAATCTAGTATCCGTGTCTTTAGGCCATTAGTGGTGCCCCTGGATGCCCTAGCTCTAGGAAACAGCATTCCACTTCATTGGTTCTGTGATTTGATAATGACAAGAACGCAAACTCTTAACTGTTACATCAATGTCTTTGAAATTCATTACTGCAGATGTCAACTTTTTCATAATCACTTGAATATTCATAGCATAACCTCCCTAAAACTTGTTAGTTATGAGAACTGCTAATTTCCAATTATTTCGTCTCATAGTGTTTGTACCATTTTAAATTTCCAATTATTTCGTCTCATAGTGATTGTACCATTTTTATTTATTTCTGTGAAAATTCGATTTCAACTTACCTGATTTTGAGTTTGAGGTAGTATTATAGTAGTTTTATTGCTATGAAAAATGCATGATTTAAAGCTTCATCTGGAGTATTAGATCAGATTTAAATGAGAGAGAAATGAAAATACAGTATCCATCAAACCTTTTTCCTACCTTGGTATACAGATAAACCCAAAAGCCCTTATTCTTTTCTTCAGTGATAAAAATACAGTTCTTTTGTGAGCATAGACATAATACATGGAATTTGCTTCTTTGCATGGAAAGTTATGTCCAGGGAATAGGCTCAAATTCTGTTGCTACCTTTTGGTTGATCCGAGTAAGAATGTGCATGAACTCAAGTTTGTCAGCATACTGCTTCAACTTATCACAAAGTGACTGAATGAACCAGGAATCCTTTGCCAGGAATAGTAACCAGGTGCTGTAAGATATGCATACAAGAAGTCGGGGTGCACTGATATCTTCTGACACGTCATGTCATCCTCAAAAACCACTGTCAGTCTCTATCTCACAGTCGAGTTCTTGGCAGGTCTGAATCATGAAAATTTTGGGTTTTCCAGTTAGAGTTTTACAACAATCCCCTCTGAAGAAACCTGCTAATATCTTCAGCTCTATAGGCTTCTCTGTTCCAAAAATGGTTCCTTCTTCACCATGGCTTAGAAACACACAAATAAAACTGCTCCTTTTGCTATGATCTTCTAAAAAGCACCGTACAGCAATTTCTTAATTTCCTCACTGATAAGATCATTTTTGGTCCTGACTTCGTATTTCAAGTTAGTAAATGTTTCCTTGAGTCTTGCTGCATCTACATCTGTCCAAGTCCGAGTCGATATTCCTTGGCCTTTAAAGTTTTTATTAAACACACTCCCATTTCAGGATAATCCACTTTGTAACTATTGACCAAGGATATTCCAGAGTCCACTGACTTGCTGCCTTGTATGATCTTTGGTTTTGAATTCTTTATGGATTTTGCATCTACTAAGATTTCAGAGTTCTCCATAGATACTTTTAACTGGTAATGTTCGAGGGTTACTCCTGGCGGGCTGGAGGTGGAACCTGGCTGGCCGCATGCAAGGCAAGCACCCCACCTGCTGCACTCTTGGCACTGAACCTCCTCCAAATCACATGCACGAATGCTCAAACTTGGGCTGTGCTCTCTGAAATGGTCCTATATTTAAATATTCTTGACTTCAGTTTTCATTTTTATTTATTTCTTGGTACACCAGCTGTACCTATAGTTTGCTCCTGGCTCTATGCTAAGGGACCACTTCTGGTTGTGCTCAGGGGATCATCTGCATTGCTGGGGATCGAGTCCAGGTTGACTATATACAAGACAAGTACCTTACCTACTATTACTACCTCTCTGGCCCAAAATTCTTTATTTTAAATACTAATGGTTCAAATCATTCTCTCCTGATTAGACCTTCGCCAAATACCCTGGCCAGCAATAGCCACTGAGCCCTCAGCAGGTGACCAGTATCAAATTTGTCCAAGTGAAATGGGGCCATTTTGGACCTTCCAGACTGTTTAGGACCCTATGTAGCATCAAGTAGAGTCTCCCAGTCGGTCCACAGAATCACAGGGAATAATGTTTCAAGCCTCTGAACCTTAATCATGTTTTAAGCCTCTAGATTTTGGAGTGATTGGCTATGTGCAAGATATCTGAGCCCCACACAACCCATTAGTTCTTTGGGGTCAGAGGAGTAAAGATACTTTCCTTGAGTCTCAACCTCCCAGATGAGGAAGTTGAATAACATGCCTACAATTCCTGAGCCACACAGAGCTGACCCGGCCTTCAGCCTGGTCAAACACCCTCTTAGATGCATCATCCCACTTCAGGAGCCACAAGCACCCTCCTGGGAAATAGTTTACAATCTCCCTCATCTAATGCCAAGGAGGAAGACATTCACAGGAAGGAAACAGTTGGGGAAAGGAGCCTGCAGGTGTGAGTTTGAGCCCCGCCCTTGCTACCAGGGCTTTCTTGCCCTTCAGCCCTCCTGTTCTTGTCACACTTCCCCTCTCCAGAAGTGCCTCTGAGGGGGCATTGGCCATGTCTGGAGATGGCTCCTATTGCCACCAGTGGGGGTGGAGGAGGCGTGCTACCTACCAGGTGCTACTCCATCTTAGGGGTAGAGGCCAGTGACCCCCAACAGAGCTATACTATACTGTCAACCCACAGCAAAGAATTCTGCAGCCAGCAGAGTCTATGAAGACCCAGCAGAGAAACCGTGTGGAAAGGAACCAGGACACAGCAAAGTCCCCACCCACTCCGTTCTGGGTCCACGGTTCAGCAAGCAGCACTTACCATCATTTTCACTTGAGTGCAGAGGTTCTGAGGAAATCTCCACCAGGAAGAACCCCAGAAGCCCCCACCTTCTCCCCACCCCCCATGCCCCGGCACTTTTCAGGACTCAGCACCAGGCTTGATTGGCTGCAATTACTTTATTGGAGACACAGCGTGAAACAAAGGCATGCGTGCGGGGCGGGTGCTCGCGTCACTGGCTTTGTAGAAGCTTCTGTGGCCTGAGAGGCTCTCTCCTCCTACGGGTCATGCCCCCACAGAGTTACAGACACCCTGCCCCCTGTCCCCGCCCCATCCACAGGTTCCCAAGAAGTGCCCGCAGAGAGACTCAGGGCAGGATTAGGAAGGACCAAGACTCCAGCAAAAATAACAAAAGGCAGCAGAAAGGAGTCCGCAGCACGGCAAATCGGCTGCTAGGAAAGGCTACCAGAAAGATGCCCAGGTGCCCCCAGCTCCGCCCAAGGGCGACTGGGGGATGTTGCACAGAGGGAGCGTTTGGGAGCAAAGCGCTTCGCCAAATCTGATGACAGATTCGCTGGAAGAGCGGGGGTGGGCGTGGCCTGTCGGCGAGATGGGCGTGGTCAGGGCGCGCTGGGCGTGGTCCCGCCTGCTGAGGGGCGTGGCGGTGGGCGTGGTCTTCCCTGGATGGGCGGCGGTGTGGGCGTGTCCTGGTAGGGGGCGTGGCTACGGGCGGGTCCTGGCCGCGGAGGGGGCGGGGCCGCGCCTCTTAGCATCTCTTACAGCCCACGCTGCAGGCGCTGGCCCCGCCGCACGGGGCACAGGGGGCACAGGCGGTGCCCACCACCATGTTGCCGCTGCAGGGGGCACTGCAGACGCTGGTGGTGACAGCAGGGGCAGAACCGGAGACGCAGAGATCGCCACAGACGACGCCACCGCGGGAGCTGCTGACGCCTGGGATGAGGTGGAGGGGGCGGGAGGGAGAACAGGTGTCAGGTCCTGCCACCGCCCGGCAGCTTAGGGGGCGACGCGAAATTGTCCCCTCCCCAGAGGCAGTGGGACCACCCCGGCTGGAGAAGGGGAAGAGCTACTTACAGACATTCACGGAGCCAACGCCTTCGCACAACCTGTTGGGAGAGGAGAGGGGAGACAGGTCAGCGCGGGGAGAGGTGGCCGGGGAAGGTCACCTCCAGGGCACTTGCCAAGGGGGAAGGAGCACTAGGCAGGATCCCGACCCTAGAGTAGCCAGGAGTCAACTGGACTTCCTAGGGCAGAATTCCTCGGGCATCAGGCTCCCCCGACCCAGATTTCTGCTGCGAACTTCAGATTTACTAAACCCTCCCCTCATAAATTATTAGCAGGAAAATCTACTTTGCACCGAGAGAGAGAAAGAAATCCGAAGCTGCCTGCTGCCCCAGAGTGTTTAAAGCTGGGACGAGCTGAGCTGTGAGGGGCAGGCAGGGATCCTCTTTCACTATTTCTCTTTCCCCTTGTCTGTGAATGCATTTGTGAGGCTGAGTTCTCATTTCTGGAGCTGCTCGAATTCATGCAACAAGAATGTGCCTTTAGGAGGGCAGATGTTTTTATCTCGTTTCCTCCCCATTGCGAAGCCCCTCTGTCCAAAATAATACAGCAGATCCTCAATTCAAAGTCATTTGGTTATAGTGTTGATAAGAAAAAGGAAACCTGTTCGTTTGAGCAATGCTCATTATTCAATCAGTTCATCCTATGCTTCCGTTATACATGGCTTCCCTTTAAGTCATTTTCCCAAAACTTATCTCTGATGCTCCCATCAGAGCATCCCAAAGGGGAGTGTACTATTATATTCACTGATATTTAGACTCAATAATATGTTTATAGTGCTATTAATAATTTTTAACTTGCTATCAATATCATGTTATTAATATTATATTCTGCTGTGCCTGGCTCAATCAATAGCAGTTGGATGAGTGAATGGGCTTTTAGAGTCTATTTTGAATGCCTCAGAGACTGTCCTGAACCCTAGGGTCAGAGGGCCACACAGCCATCTTGCTCTCACCCTAGGAAGGCAGTCCTGGGCTTGGGGTTGGCCCTTAAAGGCAGGAGAAGCCAAATTAAACATTTTCTAAATCGGGATGGAGAGCTGGTACAGCAGGTAAGGCATTTGCTTTGCACACTGCTCACTGGGTTTGAACCCAGGCACCCAATATGGTCCTCTGAAGCCCACCAAGAGTGACCTTGGAGTGCAAAGCCAGGAGTAAGCCCAGAGCACTTCTGGGTGTGACCAACCCCCACCCCCAAATTAAAATTCTTTAAAAATTAAAAATTTTAAATAAAGTATTGCCTTAGAGATCACCTACACCAGTGTCCTCATTTGACAGAGGGGAGGAAACTGGGACCCAGGAATAGAGAGAGGCACCAGTGAGAGGCAGGGTTGAAATTAGGGCCTCCCACTGCAACACGGTTCCTTCTGAGAGAACTGTCTCCTCAAGAGAGAAGCAGGCAGGCGCCTTTCTGAGTGTGGTGGGTGGCAGGGGTGGCAGGAGTGTGCTTGGTGATGGGAAGTAGGGTGGCCCGCATCATCGGGCCCTTTCCCAGGGAACCCCCATGCTGAGCCATCCCCAGGACACTGCAGCAGGGGACTGGCTCACCCAGATCTGTGTGCTGCTCCCACAGTCCTTTCAAGGTCCGCTCACTCTCTTAGAAAACTCCACCTGAATCTTGCACAGAGGAAACCCCACCCCTGCACCCGGCTCTCAACCAAGAGCATCTGAAGTGCCCTGTGCATGATTGAACTGCTCCCAGTCTCAGCAGCAGGACCAGGGCTTCCTATTTCAAGCCTGGGTACAAAGGCCCCTACACACAGGATCTTGCTGGCTGTTTCCTCTGGTTTCTCACCCACTGGGCTCCTGCACCCAGTTCCAGGGGTCTCACTGGGCAGAGGGAGGCTTTGGGATGGGCATGGAGGAAAGGGGAAAAATTCTCTAGTATGGTTTTGTGCTCGTAGTATGTATTCTATTGCTTTCTGGAAGAATATGGTCACTTCCAGCAAAAAGCAAACAGCAAGCAGGTTCCCAGACTTCTGCATCGATGTCCCAGACAAAGTGCCTGCTGTCTGTCTTACTAAGTCCTGCTATCTGTCTATCTAACTAAGTCCTGCTGTCTGTCTCCCCTCGGGTCCTGCCTGCTTCAATGGAACACCACAGTGGGACTGGCTATGATCTAAGAGAGTGGAGTGGGTTTACGAGACTATCTAAAGCATCCTGGTGACCTCAACCAGAGTCCTGTGACAGACAGAAGCCACAGACCTGAGGGTCCCGAGGAAGAGGAATCAAAAAGGGGGACCCCAACTCAGTGTGCATCTCAGAATCAGGAATGAGAGCCGGTTCCACCCCTGTGAAGCACATTGGCTATTGCCCCCACCCATCCTCCAGGGGCAGGAGGGACTGACAGGAGCTGTAAACACACCCCAAGGACTGACTCAAATTACCTGTCCAGCTGCAGGATGGGGAGGTTTGGAAACGGGAGTCAGGTGAGGCCGGGAGTATGAGGGAGAGGCACCTGAGAACCCAGCGACCTGGGAGAGACACTGGCTACAAAACCCACCTCTGCTCCTCGCCCTCCAGCAGGCGCCGGTAGGTGGCGATCTCGATGTCCAGGCCCAGCTTGGAGTTCATCACCTCCTGGTACTCCTTCACCAGGCACGCCATGTCCTGCTTGGCCTTCTGCAGGGCCTCCTCCAGGCCGGCCAGCTTGCACTTGGCGTCACACAGGGCCGCCTCGCCCTGCTGCTCGGACTGGGACACGGCGGCCTCCAGCTTGGAATTCTGAGGGAGGAAGGGATCGAGTGGACTGTGGGCCCTCTGTCCATTTCCCAGAGTGTCCAGTCCCTCTGCCCACTGGAAGCCCAGAAGCAGCCCCGAGCCCCTGCGGAGGTCACCCTCAGTGTCCCTCAGGGACACACCCCTGCTAACAGGAGAGCGGTGAGGGAGATCCGGACAAGGACACTCAGCCCAGGGCACCTGGCAAGCCCGCGGTCACTCTGGCCCAGGTCGAGATGACCCGTACCTGGCACTTGGCGTTCTCCACCTCGGCCGTGAGCCTCTGGATCATGCGGTTCAGCTCGTTGATCTCCTCCTTGGTGCGGCGCAGGGTCTCCCCGTGCCTGATGACGGTGGCCTTCATCTCCTCACACTGGGGCAGAGGGGACAGAGGGGCCTGAGACTCAGGATGGGGGGTCACCGCCCATCGGGAACCCCAGGTGAGAGTGTGGGTTGTGCAGTGCCCAGCTTGAGCAACAGTACATGGCAGCCCTGCTGGGAGCTGCCGGCCCTTCTCTCGCCATCCTTAGGGGCCAGGGTCCCGGGTAAGAGAAGCCTTTCGCAGTCTGTGCTTCACTGCTGGCTGTGTGGGAGCCGGGCCCGTGCCTCTCACCTTGCTGCGGTACCAGCTCTCGGCCTCGGCCCGGCTGCGGCTGGCAATGTCGTCGTACTGAGCCTTGATCTCGGCGATGATGCAGTCCATGTTCAGGTCCCGGCTGTTGTCCATCTTGACCACCACCGAGGTGTCTGAGATGTGGGCATTGAGGACACGGATCTCCTGCAGGGCAGGGGGAGGGTCAGGGGGCTGCTTGTTGCGGGGCCCTCCCCACCCGTTGCTCAGGTCTCCAGCCCTGCCCCTTCTGACAGCCTCCAAGCTCATGGCCACTCCACGTCAACCTGCAGGTGGACACGGTCCCGCGGGTTGCTGCCCAGTGTGCCTGGTCAGGCCTCACCTCCTCATACAGGCGCCGCAGGAAGTCGATCTCCTGGGTCAGGGCCTCCGCGTTGGCCTCCAGGTCCGACTTGCGCAGGTAGGCACAGTCCACGTCCTGAAAGTGGGTCTCCTTGAGCTCAGCTGGCCCCGACTGTCACCCGGTCCTGGCCCCTCACTCATTCTGGGGTCAGGGTGGCTCCACTGCATCCCCATTCCTGTCTGCATTTGACCATGCAGGGGCCTCCTCAGAAACCCCGCCTTGGAGCCTTGGTGCTGGCCTGAGTCTCTTGGGACCCCCACGGAGACTCAGTCCCCGCTGCTCTTCATAGAAGGATCCACGCAGGCTTCCCACGGCCCCGTGTCCTCCTCTGTCCAGCAGCCCCCATGCTTGACCGTCCCCTGTCCTCAAAGTTCCCACTGTGTGGGCTGAGGTGTGGCCACCACCTCAGGGCCCATGACACACCGTACCCCAAGGCATGGCTGCCATGCACAGGCACCCCCATGTCCACCCCAGAGGTGGCCAGGCCACACTGCGCACACCTGGAGCAAAGCCCACCCTGCACCTTGCATGGAGCCATCCGAGCCTGCCAGGACCACTGTCCCCGACCAAGGCTCCTCACAAGGGCTGTCCCTCTCAGGTCCCCGTCCCAGGCCCAACCCCAAGCCAGGGTCTCACCTTCTTCAAGGCCACAAACTCGTTCTCAGCTGTCGCTCTCAGGCAGACTTCCTCCTCGTACCTGAGGCAGAGCAGGGCCAGAGGTCATGTCAGCAGCCGCCTGGCACCCACCAATGCCAGCCAAAGGGTTGTGGCCCCACCCACACAGCCAGGGCCCTGAGCCCCCTGGGCCTTCCAGATGTCTTGGGATTGTCAGACCCATCATGATAGGTTGGGGGTGACAGGCCATCTGGGCCTCAGCGTCCCAGTGCTAGCCTCTCTGAGGTCTCCTCAGCACCCAGCACACTCAGGACACCCATGGGGGCCCAGCAGCCAGGCCCCTCCCTGTGTCTACCAGGCTCAGGTGTGGGGAGAGGGGCCCCAGAGACCCTGGCTCACACACTCGAGGCTGGGGGCACACAGAGTCAGCACCATCCCCCGAGGGAGCAGAGCCCCCAAGGGGTCTGGATGTCACAGGCTGGGCAGGATGGGACCCGGGGAAGCAGCAGTTGTGCCCACAGCACTCGGGAGCTGCTGGCCCCAGGGCCGGGGATCCCGGGGATCTGGGCCCTCCTCCTGGCCAGACCCTGGCACCGGCCGCTCAGAGAAAGCTCCTGCCATGCGGCCCCTGCGTCCCGCCCCCGCCCCCGCCTCCGTCCCACACTCACTTCTTCTTGTAGCCCTCCAGCACCTCCTGCACGTGGTTGAGCTCAGAGGCCAGCCTCCCGCTGTCAGCCTCCACACACTCGGCCTCCCGCCGCAGCGTCTCCACGTAGCCGGTGAACAGAGGCTCCAGGTTGCTCTCGCAGCACTTGCGGTTCTGGTAGAACTGCCACTTGGTCTCCAGCAGCTTGTTCTGCTGCTCCAGGAAGCGCACCTGCGTTGGGTGCAGACGAGGGGTCAGAGGGCTCCTCGGGCCCCTGCGCCCATGCTGGGGGGACCTGGGCCAGCGCGGGTGGCTCTAAGGAAACCCCCGGACCCGGAGCTCTGCAGGCCTTGGGCGAGGGGCTCACCTAATGGGAGTGCAGACATGGGCCAGGATGGGAGAGGCAGAACCTGTCTGATCTCCCTCCGCCCTGTCGTGAGGGTAGGCATGAGGGAACAGTCCACTCTGGGCCTCAAACACCATGTTGGGGGACGGTGTTGGCTGCTTTGCACAACTGTCAAGGCTGGTGCCGGCCCTGGGCTGACAGGCCGGTGTCTGGCTCAGTCTGATCAGTGTCTGGACTGTATGTGGCGCCTGGTCTCGGGGGACAGAGGACTTGGCCCCTCAGAGGCAAATGTTCCCATTGTGGGCACACTTGGGGTGTCTGGGAACACTTCAGCCGGATGAAGTCACGGGCTCTAGGGACAAGCTCAGCCCCTGGCCCCTGTCCTGCGCCTGAGGCCAGTGCACACTGCTGTCCCGCACCGGACAGGGGAAACTTTGTCCGCCTGGAGCTGGGCAGAGCGGGAGGGTTTCTGAAGCAGCTGCCAATTTCCTCATTTCCTCCAATGCAGAGTTTGTTTCACGTCTGCAGGGTAGCCCTTTTCTCCCAGCTCTGTCCCTCTGCACTCTCGGCTGGCCTGGACAGCCCTGCTGTGCCTCTGTGTTGTCTGCCTGTCCTGTCTGACTGAGAACTCCTGGACGGTGAGGTCTCCTGCCTCTTACTTCACCCTCACAGCTTAGCCTGAGAGTCTACGTGGAGTTGAGGACAGATGTGATCAGGGCCACGCACCTTGTCAATGAAGGCCGCAAACCTATTGTTAAGACACTTGATCTGCTCCTTCTCCTCCTGCTTCACGCACTGGGCGTTGGGGTCGATCTCCAGGTTGAGGGGCGTGAGGAGGCTCTCGTTGACAGACACGGTGGTGATGCAGGGCGGGCTGGGCCCGCACACCCCCCCGGAGCGGTACCCGAAGCTGCTTCCGCAGGAGCCGGCGCGGAAGCCCCCGCAGACGCTGCGGCTGCCGAAGCCCCCGGTGATGCCTCTGTAGCAGGAGATGCCGCGGTAGGGGGCGGCCGTGATGCAGCAGCGGCCGGGCCGGGGCCCGCAGGCCGAGGCGCAGCTGAAGGAGCTGCCACAGAATGATCCACAAGTCATGGTGTTTCTTTGGGGCCCAGAGAACTGTGAGGAGCTGGATGTCCTAGTGCAGGACCAAGAGGACTAAATGTTTACGTCTCGGGCGTAGTGGGGCCTTTATATATCCAGAAGCCTGATGCACCCGTGGGGTTAGGAGCAATTAGGCTCCATAATTGGCTTGGGTTGCTTAGCTGCTGATGCTCCTCCCTTAATGTCCCTAATTGGGACCCAACATGGCCAGATGTTTATGGCCTTTTACCCCAAACTGCACAATTTTTGTCTTCAAAGGGCCAGCTCACCTTCCCCAAATGCCCCAGTGCAATTGGCCAAAGTGAGGGACTGGAAAATGGGTTCATGAGTGATGCCAAAAGGGCATTGCTACCCTCCGAGGTCCAGGGTGAGGTCAGTGGCGCTGTCCACGGTGCTGATGGGCCAGCCCTAGAGCTTCTGGGAGTGTAGGCTTGTAATGCAGTGTAGGGTTTGTGGGTCGGAGCACTCGCTTCTCTCACACTCAGAGCCTGTTTGTTTGTTCGTTTGTTTTTTGAGTATTGGCATTTTCTTTTAATAATTTTGTAACTGAATCACCATGAGATACCCAGTTACAAAGTTGTTCATGATTGTAAGTGGGGAAAGTATTGAAAGCACACCACACACACACACACACACACACACACACACACAGGGTCCTCGGCTGTAAATCTTGCCGTTTATCAATACTTTATAAATAAATGGTGTTGCTCAAGTACCCGTGCTCAAGATGTTTGAAATGTCCAGAAATTTTGGGTCAAGTCATCATATTGCCGGTTCTCTCATGCTCATCAAAGCCCTTGACTCGGCATTCCTGTCTTTTATTTCTTTAACACTTCTTACTCCTCACTGCATACCCTCCCCTGATCTGAACAAACCACACTAATCAGAGCCTGGTTTTGTACCTCCAAAGACCCACTCTTCACAGCCTCACTCAGATACCCCTGAAAACCCAACATCTGGGGCCGAATCCCTCACCTAGACACATATTTCTGTCTCTGTCCCCTGTCTCTGTTCATCCGTCTCCCCACACAAATCTCTCTCTCTCTCTCTCTCTCTCACACACACACACACACACACACACACATATGCTTGTGCACTTACTGACCTACCCCATGTGAATACAGATCAGTGATAGGTCAATATTTTGTCCTTATTGGTCAGCCTCCACTGAGAGAAGAAGCCCTTCAAGGGTTCCATGGAACCCTGGGAGCACAGCACTGGCCCAGCGATCTCAGGAATGGCCCAGGCCCAATAAGCCACTGAGCATGGATGGTTTGTTCAAACTTTACCATAAACATCCATGTTTCCTCTGGGACCAAGAAGCCTTCAGCCTGCTTCTGGGAAGCCCTATCATTTGTTTTTATTAGAGAATCAATCTAGACAGAGTCCTATAAAAAATTATCTCTGCACCATCAGTCTCTTGAGAACTGCTTTCTTTACTCATAGGCAACACCCTTCCCCTCTGCAGAAGTTTCTCAGTAACCTGCAACCATGTTAGAATGAGCCTCCGTGGTGTGGATCTTTCATGCGGAGCTTGAACCCAAAAGGACTGCATAGAACCCCAGACACTGGCGGTTCAGTATAAGCTGAGGGAAGCACTGTTTCTCTGGGAAGCAGAGTGTTCCCATCCAGTCCTGTCTTGGAGACTTAGAGGGTATTTATGTGCTCAGAAAACTCCAGAATACAGACAACATGTGTTTCTACAAGCATCAAGAAACTGGAGCTTCACAGCCTCCTTACTCTCGAAGATCGTGTTGGGACCGAATCTGAATGGACAGAATTGTTTTGGATGACATAGGACAAAATCAAGCAGTGAAAAAAAACCCACGAGGATCATACACATAAGAATAATGTTTTATAACACTTTTATTTCAACTGTGGTTTGGGATGGAGAGACAGTATAGTGGATAGGACTCTTGCCTTGTACATAACTGGCCTGGGTTTAATGCCTGCCAGGCACCCCATGTGGTCCCCTGAGCCTTCTCCGGAATGATCCATGAATGCCGAGCCAGGAGTAAGCCCTGAGCTCTGCTGGCTTTAAAAAAAAAAGAAGAAGAAGAAATTTCAGCCGGTCCGGCCGAGCCGGGTTCAATTCCTCCACCCTTCTCGGGGAGCCCGGCAAGCTACCGAGAGTATCCTGCCCGCACAGCAAAGCCTGGCAAGCTCCCCGTGGCATATTCGATATGCCAAACACAGTAACAAGTCTCACGATGGAGGCGTTACTGGACCCGCTCGAGCAAATCGATGATGTGTACTTACATCCTCAGCAAATTTTTTTTCTAACATGATTGCAACCAAAAATCTTTAAATCATGGGATCTCAGTTAATACAGACCCATAGGCCAGAGAGAAGCTCAAAAGGGTTTGTGCATCCTTGGCTTGCTGGACGCCAGGTTCCATCCCAGGCACTGCATGGTCCTCTGAGCACTGTCAGGTGTGACTCCAAAACAAACAGCAACATTAACAAACGTTACGTGCCCAGAAGTCAGAAGCCGGCTTAGCAATTTGGACAAAAGCTCAAGGACCAGAGATTAAACTCCAGCACCTCACACCAACCCCAACACCTCTGAATGTATCTCTCTCTCTCTCTCTGGAGACCCCCAAGGAACTCCATGTCCTTAGCCCTAGCTCTGAACCAACAAGTTCTATCAGCTAATTATCTTCAGGAGTGACCCCCCAGGCTCCCTGAGCACTGCCTGAGAGTACCCCCTCTCCCACCCCATCCCCCAAAGACACAGGCCCAGATTCCAAACTGTCGAGTTTCAGAATCCAGCTCTTCCACTTTCTAGCTGCGTAACCTCAGGCAATTACTGAACCTCTCTGTACCTCATTTTATGATTTGTCGAATGGGGATGATAATAGCCCCCCACCTCATAAAGTTGTTGTAAGGATTAAAAGAGTCGATCCATGTAAACCACTTAGGAAAGCCTGACACATTCTGAGTGTATGTAATCATATTAGTAGTTGTTGTTGCTGCTGTTGTGGTATTGAACAGACCTGAGGTTGCCGTGGGGCTGCAGATCCAGCCGCCCTGAAGTTCCAGGGTTCATGGGATGGGCCAATTCCTACTCCTATACCGTCTCGATTCCACTAGCGCCTACCTTAGTGCCTCCCTGAAGGACTAGAGGAGGAATTAACTTAAATCCTTCATGGACAATGCTTCCCAGGGCACACCGCCCGTGCTCAAGAAATACGTCCTGTGAGATTTACTCCATGGCTTGGAGGCCGGCTGCACACACTAGGGTTTCCCAGATAGAGAAGGGAGCACCAATAAAGGGTGCTGGGAGGATCCTCCCAGGATGGGAGAAGCATGCTTAAAGTAGACTATAGTCTGAACATGATTGCCACGCAATGCCTCTTTCATAAACCACAGCACCCAAAAGGAGAGAGAGAACGAAAGGGAATGCCCTGCCACAGAGGCAGGAGGGGATGGGGGGATGGGGGTTGGGAGGGATACTGGGATCATTGGTGGTGGAGAATAGGCACTGGTGGAGGGATGGGTACTCGCTCATTGTATAACTGAAACCCAAGCACAAAAATTTGTAAGTCTACAACTGCACCTCATGGTGTTTCACTACTAAAAAAAAAATACCTCCTGTGTGAGTGAGTCCAGGGGGCTGGGAGAACTTCTGTCCTGGCTCCAACATCTCAGCCAGAAGAGAACTCCAGGACCCAGTGATGTGACACAGTGGCAGTGCAGGCGCGAAGCCTCTAATTCCGTCCCCCACGGTACTGGACATCGTCCACTGAGACCCTGAGCTCTGCCACTGTGACCTTCTATGCTGCCCCAGTGCAAGAGGAGATGGGGACGTGAACATAGAAATCGGGGAGGCAGTGTTCAGGGATGCAGGACCATGTCGCTGCTAGGATTCTGCTCCATGACCCAGGGCTGATGTCTGCCGCCTCTTTCTGGAAGTACATAAGCATGGTTTCCGTGTACTGGGAAGAGCACATGCTCTCTGCTGACGGGTGTGGAAGCACCAAGACTTTTTAAAACTTTTTAATTTATTTTTATTTATTTTTAATTTTTATTAGTGAAACACCATGAGGTACAGTTGTAGATTTACAAATTTTTGTGCTTGAGTTTCAGTTATACAATGATCGAGCACCCACCCCTCCACCAGTGCCCATTCTCCATCATTTACATTTTTTAAAAATTTTTATTAGTGAAACACCATGAGGTACAGTTGTAGACTTACAATTTTTTTGTGCTTGGGTTTCAGTTATACAATGATCGAGTACCCATCCCTCCACCGGTGCCCGTTCTCCACCATCAGTGTTCCCAGTATCCCTCCCACCCCCCATCCCCCACATCCCACCCTGCCACTCAATGCCTCTTTTGCAAACCACAGCACCCAAAAGGAGAGAGAGAACAAAAGGGAATGCCCCGAACGTTTTCTTTAAATCGAGCTCTGGTGCTTTCTGTCACCGAGAGGGAAACTGAGCATCAGGGAGTGACTGTCTCTGTGACACCCAGGCAGCTGCTGCTGCTGAGTGCAGAAGAGGCTCTGCTCAGAGTCAGGACAGCCCGACACTGGCTGACGACTCCCTGTTACACATCCGAGGACAAGGGGTCACACAGTCTTGGAGAGGCTGGAAGGTGGCGCCTCATTCAGGAGGTCTGATCCTGGCGAGCCCACGGGCCAGTCCAGCCCTGCTCCTGTCCCGTCCAAGGCCAGTGTGGGAACAGATATGTCACTTTGTCAGGGGAGTCCAACTCAGTGCCATGCCCTTTCCCCCGCCCCTCTAGACGGATGCTTCTCCCTCTCTTCTTTCACCCCGATTTCCCACCCCAACCATTTCCTCTAAGGCATCTCCCCTCCCACCCTCTCTCTTGTCCTCCACTTCCTTCCTCTTCCCTCTGTCACGCCCACACCCCTACCCAACCTTCTGCTCTTCCCATTCTCTCCAACGCCAGCTGGTCCTTGTGCTTCCAAGTGGCCCTGGAGAGTAATAATCTTAGACCAATCATCTTCTCCATATAGAGTCGCG